GATGGCTTATGTCATGTCTATATTTCATCTTAAACTTTGTTTCTTAATTATTATTAATAATAATAGAAATTTTACTTTTTATTATTTGATTAGTAACTTGACAATTACTTCCATTTTAAATTTTAATTTTTTAATTAATTTTAAGTTTTAACATATTCTTCATCTGATCAATATTATATACATGTCGCGATCTCGTGAGTTATAATTTTGCTTACGTGTAATGCTGATATAAAAAACAATTACTTTAAATATGTTTGATTTTAAAATTTATAACGCATATAATTTGAAGAAGTTTCTGACATTAGCTCCTTCTGTTGATTGCATCAGTTAATGTCTATGTCCCGAAAGATAGATTGACAAATCTTCATCAAGGATATGGATTCATTGAATTATGTAGTGAGGAAGATGCTGACTATGTAAGGGTTGCCTCTTGCCATGTTTTGTGAGGAGATTTCAGACTTCTTTTTTTGGGTACAATGGTAACATTTTTTCAATGTTTTGAGCAGGTGATTAAGGTTCTTCACATGATTCATCTCCATGGGAAGCCTATACGTATTAACAAGGTCTCAGTTTGTTTTTGTATCTTTGGTTATTTTGGTATCCTATCTTTTGCTTTCGAATGAATTCTTGAGATCAAGAACACTTGTAGCTGCTCTATTCACTTGTGAGACTTGCTAACATTTTGTTTCCTGATTAAAATTGTATTAGGTGTCTCAAGATAAGAAGAGCTTGGATGTTGGTGCTAACTTTTTCATTGGAAACCTTGACCCTGTAAGTATGTTGTGGTAATACTATGAAATTGTTACTTGAGCAATAACTGACCAGATTTGGTTTTACAGAATGTCGATGAAAAGCTGTTGTATGATACTTCCAGTGCATTTGGTGTGATTGCTGCTAATTCTAAGGTAGAATTTTTATTTCCTTAAATCTCTGTTCATGATTTTTGATCACTTATCTGTAATTTAAGAGAAATAAACTATTCGTTTGGGAAAAAATATGGTTGTAAGCTTCAGAACTTGATGATCCAAACTTTTCATTTCAGAAAATGTGAGTTAAAAATTTTAACTTAAAATGCAAGATCCCGAAACTGGGAACTCACGAGGTTTCAGTTTCATCATGTACGACTCTTTTGAGGCATGTGATGCTACTATTAAGGTATTTGTCAGGCTTTTTTGTTCTTTCGAGATTATCATTTCATTGAAATTGGCTTCGAGAATGAATCCGTTAACATAAAATAACTTCTCCAGTCACTTAATCCATTGGTTGTATATTCCTCTGATCTTTGTTTTACTGTTGTAGGTAATGAGTGGACAATATCTCTGTTATC